CTGTAGTCCACGAAAGCTTATGCTCTAATAAATTTGTTAGTCTCTAAGGTGCCACAAGTAATCCTGTTCTTCTTTTAGCAGGAATAGAGTTGCCATGCACCAGCAGCAAAGAACGTGTCTAGGAGCAAAGGAAATAATGCAGTTAGGCAAAAGAATAGGAAAAAAGACAACCCAGGCTCAGGAAAACGTGGAAAATGGGGGAGAAGAGCAGATGAGATTGCGAGAGGTTGAAAAAATAAAGAGCAGAAAGCGACAGCACAGTTAACTTCTTTCCAGACACTCATTGCACTATAGACAGAAAACATTCATTACTTTCCCAATACTTTGTCATGCATAGGATTACTGTATTTGGAGCAAGGGTGTTTTGTAATTATGATCCACTGAGATGTTCTTTTGAGATGAATCTTGGTTCACTCAGCAAAAAAAGTTAGGAAATATCTGAAAGGAAAAAGTTAAATAAAATATTGCTAAAGCTGAAAAAATGTATATAAACGCCTCTTGGAATTTCCTCTCCGCCTTAGCAGCTGCATCCAGTGGGTTTTTTCTTTCTGTAGTATATTTTGACCTCATTAAAGTTTTTTAATGGAAATTAACATTTTTTACGACTCATAGAATCAATGGTTTTAATGCCAGAAGGGGCCATTTATGATCATCTAGTTCACTTCCTGAATAGCACAGATCATACAGTTTTACCAGGTGGTTCCTGCATTGAGCCCAAAACCAAGGAAGAATAGCAAAAAATAGGTATTCAGTTAGATTTTAGATAGTTTAAGCTACTCCAGATATCATTAAGCTCATCTTAATTTATCTGCAACCCCACAACACAGACAGTTATTACCAAGATTTGGAGTGGCTGCTCTGAGCAAATTCCAGTATTAATGTATGGCTTCAGAGCACATTTTAAATTTAAAAAGAAACCAACCATCTTTTCTTTCATAGTTCAGCAAAGATGGGTCATTTGTTTTGTAAGCTAAACTTCAACTGAATTGTTATGAAAATAGACACAATGATTCTAAATGTGGCTGGAAAGAGACCTCCCCTTTCCAAGTACTATAATTTACAGGTCACAGCCTTCCTGAGGTTTTGTTACAGAGAGGTTTTCTGATTGTACAAGTAACAATTTAAATCTGTGTTTGAATGAGAACACAGACTGAGAAAAATGTAGTCTTCAAAATATTTACTCTTCTTCCCCTTCTTCCCCCTCCCCCCTCACAAAATTTGGTATTTAAGTCTGGAGATGATGTTGACACTATAATTCCTTTGTACCACTTACCGTTGTTGGGCAACACATGAAATCAACCAGTTCTGTCACTTTATGTTACTACAGTTTCCTGAGTTATCCGATTCATATAATCACATATTCTATCATCGTGAGGGTGAAAATGCTAAACTGGGGTATTGGGTATTTTGTATTATAGATTCTATGTGATTTCTGTTTAGCTACAAACTTCCCTTCCCTATGAGGAGCATACTAAATTTGTTGTTAGGTACCCTAATGAGGATGTTGGGGGTAACAAGTTGGTAAGGTTTTGGCAAAGGTTATGTTACTTCTAATTACTGTCCATTTATTCTCAAGTCTCCCTTGTTCTTGATGTTTCTGGACTCGATTTGGCAACTGCTAGAACAATATCCATCAGCCTTTGAGTTTTCTGAAACATATTTGACCATATTGTATGATAGTACACGGATCTCATTGTTTGGCACCTTCCTTTTCAACTGTCCTCACCAGCGAGTAAAGCAGAGCACTGTGAGTATGAAGAAGTGTTACCCTTACCTTTCAAATAATTGATCTTAGGCCTGAGTCTTTCGCGGGGGGAAAAAACCACAATCTAAACTAAATGGCATTTATTCACTTTTGCAAAATGATGTCACATTTGCAACATGAGCTTTTAAGAGAAATATTGAGCAAAAATATTCAGTGCACGATGAGTGTTCATCATATTGTCCCTGCAATGCTCTTTGCGTATACTGAAAATGGAAACTGTCTGTGGGGGGGGAAAAACTCTACTTACCTTATTTCTAAAATAGCATTATTAACAAGTGCTTCATCGTTTCCTTCATCTGTACTCCCATAAGAGTGCTGCATACTTGCAGTGGGATTAGTATGCAGCTTCCTTTCATCTGCATGATAGACAGTGACTTGGATGGTATCTAAAGCTACAGACAAACTTTGAAATCTCTTGTGACATGGCCACATAATGATTTTAAAATACCCAATGACAGCTTTATAAAAAGAATGCTAAAAATCTGAGTAATAGTGATCAAGTACTATTTATACAGAAAGAGAGAAAAGCGGTGCTTAAACCTAAAAAGGACCTCTGATAGATATCTAAAAAAATTCCAACCTTCAAAGCAAGCACACACAAAAATGGGTGACTTGTATATGCTGCATGCAGGGTAAAGAACAGGGTAGGACAAAAACCAGGAGACCTAAATGTTTATCAGACCACTCTTCTACAATTTACTTTGCTTAAAGAATCAATGACTCTTAGAACAGTGCAAGTAAATTCTAATATACACCAACACAAAAACAAAATTATTTAACCTAGAATTAAGATTGTAAATATTTACCAGTGTGTTCTCAGTGCCCCCCTCCCCCGTTGTTTTCTCAAACACATAAGTTAGCATAGAAATAAAAGCTTAGAAGCTTCATTTTTAAAAGGAAATAAACGTTAAATACGGAAATGTGGTTATCAACTAAACATTAGCTGTGTCCGAGCATTGCCACCCACTTAACAAACAAAAACCAGGATTTGTTTGTCCTCCTGCAGTGGTCACCTTGGTTGCCCTATATACTTTGACATTTGGTCTACAGCCACCCACGTTGTAAGCCATGCCCCCTGCTCAATGAGCTACATGCAATAATTAGATTTGTAAGTAATTAAATTAGTTTGTTTTTAATATGTCTGAATATTTCTTCTTGCAGGAATTCGCTATAAGCAAAAACATCCAGTTGGGTGATGAAAAAGGCCTAAAATTTCCTTCCGTTTGGGACTGGTCTCTTCAGTTTGCAACAAGAGATCGCATGCTTTTTCACAACCCCTGGTATATTGGAAAGAGTGCACCATGTGTACAAAATGGGTCTGTGAAAAGTTTTAAACGAACAAAGGTAACAGAATTACGTTGAAATCAAACTTCTGCCAATGGACTTCTTCTTTTAGCAGCTTAGTTACAATGCCATTATTGCTTGATGTCCCAGCCTATAGATAAGGCATTAAAAATGAATTTCTCTAGAGGTACAGCTCTCAAGTGTTGGACCATATGGCTTTCAGTGCATTCTCTGGTATGCTTGGGCTTACTGCCGACACAAGAGAGACTTACTGCATCACTGCAGCTATTGTGTGATATAAGGGTGCTTTGGATTAACACAGTTTTCCATATTATTTCATAGATCCTTAGTTTTTTTTCATAGACTACTGATTTGTTTCCATTGTTCAATATTGTAGAATTCAGTTAAAATTTATTTACAATTATTTTATTAGGTCATGAACAGTCAAATTATTTGCCATGAAAGCCACCCCAGTGATTAGACTCACAACTTTACTATGGCTGTGAAAGGATGCCTCACTTCTAGTCCCCCAGTGGAGAATTGTAGGCACACATGAACACCGCCAGCTGTAGCAGACTAAATCTGAGGAAAATTAACCATGTTTATTTCATATCTTTTTCTGCAGAAAAACTACAGCTCAACACTGAGAGGAATCCCCCCATCGTTAAAGAATGGGATCATCGAGCAAGAGTTTCTTCCAAGAAGAAATTCACTGATACTAAAACTGAAACCAGACTTTCTTCAGCAGATGGGTAGCCAGACCAATAGCATGGAGCAGTATTTCAGAGAATGGTTCTCAAAGCCTGTCGACTTGCATGGTGTAATTCTACCCCGTCTGTCTGGAACACACATAAAACTGTGGAAACTTTGCTACTTCCGCTGGGTTCCTGAGGCCCAAATTAACAATGGTGGCTTCATCACTGCCTTCCATAAAATCTCTGTGCTGACAGACCAAGTAGACATGCTAAACCAGAGTCTTCGGCAGTACAAAAGCAGCTCTTCTTTGCAAGCGAACTGTTCAGAACTGGATCAAAGCAGGATGTACTTCAGAGCAAATGGTTTAAATGACAATGCAGGGACCCCAGATTTTCTCTCCTCCTCATTCCCATTTTCTCCAATAGGGAACTTATGCAGACGGAGCATTCTGGGAACACCCTTAAGTAAATTTTTAAGTGGTGCCAAAATCTGGCTGTCCACTGAGACACTTGCAAATGAGGACTAAGATATTGTGATGCTTAAACATATGGGGGGAAATCGCAGACCATTGTGTCTTCTCTTAAATTAACACTGCTAACTGCGGCATCTGAAGCTGTAATAATTTTATTTACAAATATTACATACGTTTTGCACAAATATTTAAAAGCAAAGCAAATCATGCTTCAAATCGCACAATTTTGTTTTCAGTAGTTGTCATGTAAACTTCTTGTCTGGTTTCTGATTTCTTCTGTGTTTTCTAGGTCTGGCTCATTATGTAAGATCAGCGATTTCACTCACTAATGCAAAGGTTGGGTGTGGTCACTAATCAGGTTTTCTTTTTGTTTGCAATGTCTTGTTTTCCCAACTGTTGACTGAAGCTAATCTTTTATGTCAACACAGATTAGCAAATCAGATTGGTGAAAACAAACATCAAGGACATTTTGCGTTAATGTAGCCATATTGACTGGCAGTTGTAGAAATCTGGGAACAAACTACTTTGTCACAGTAACGTGTAGTAAGGACACATTTGTATGCTTCCATACTATCTTTCTGTGACTTGGTTTACTTAGTGTATGTTGCATTGGTGCAGTGTGTACTGGTTTTTGTTTTCAGTTACCCTGTAGAGAGACTATTCAATTTTTGTTCAATGTCATGAGCTTGCATTTAGTTCACAGGAACTGACTTCAGGACAATATGCACTGTTAACCTTAAAATGTTCACTGTAGAGAATAATATTGTAGCCTTAGAAGTGCCTTTAATTGGAATAAAATATTAGTAAGATGTGTCTAGCGCACCATGAAACATATTTGTCTTTCAATAGGTTAATGAACTGCCCACTAATGTAAACATAATTTAATTCATAAAACAAACTCTGGAAATCACCAAAAAGCCAATTAGCCTTCTGAACAGCAGAAACCTTAAATGACAATATGCAAATTAGCAGGGAAATTTTCTCTAGACTAAAACAAGACTGATTTCCTGTCAGTCCCAGAAAATAAAGAACCTTACCACTCCTAAAACTACTTTGTTTCTTATGTGTCCATTTATAGGAGTGGAGGTTGTGCTGGGAAAGTCCTTTCCCAACACCCCCCCACCCCCTGACACAACTGAACTAACTACAGATTAGTTAGGGATGTATTCTTTTGGCTTCCTTACACAATCTATTTTTTTTTTAAGTATTTCTGTGAAGTTTTTCCCCCCAAACTTAAAGATAAAGCAGATTGAAAAATGAGAAATCATTTTTTGCCAAACAGATTTAAAAAAAACCTTGTTTTACACCAGGCAAGAGCTGGTTAGGAATTTTCCCATGTTTTTTGGTTGAAGAAGCATTACTTGAAGCTGGGCAGAACACTTCAATCAATGTGCCACAATATTCTAGTAGCCAATTTTTTTTTTCCCCCCAAGAAGGTCTGGTTTCTGCAAAGTCTTCCTCAAAATAGCTGAGAGATACTAGAATAAGTAAAAATTAATCAGAAGTCTGTTGGAACAACAGGTTGGCTTTTCTGTTATCTTGGGCCTGATATTTGATATACAAGACCTCAACCTGTGTGCTAATTTTTGGTACCATATATTAAAATTAATAAACCACTTTGACAGTTTTTATGGTATGAGTAGTAAAATAGATTTCCTAAAACGGTTAATGCTCATAAGAGTCCATTTTAGAATTACCAAAGTTTGGTGAGTAAATTACTTTAATAAGTATTTGGGGGAAACTGTGTTAATATTTGGGCTGTTTAATCTTTAAAAAAAGAGTACAAGAACTACTTGTGTAAGGATTTCTAGCTTGTTTTCAGTTCATACAATAATCTGTATTTTACATGATACAGATGTTCTTGTTGGTAAATACTTTGCCTTTAAAAAAACTGCCTAAATCTCTGTTTACCAACCAGAATAGGGTAGTTTTCAGAATCTGGGGGCTAAGCAAGCACAAGTGGTGTGTTATGCTAGTTAGTGGTATCCAGGTTACTCTAAAAATCTGTTGTTTCATCCTTGGGGTCTGATTCTGAGTACTAATCACCCCTATGGATTTGTTTTAATGTATGGTTGAAAGGCAGTTCCTAACAATGTATAGTTCAGGACCTGCCCAACTGTGTAAACTAATACATTCATGTCCCACTGTAAAAAGCTGCCTTACTGACAATACCGACTGCTCTGAACTTACCTAATGGCCCTTATGTCTTGCAAGTAGCTCTGTGGACTGAGTACATATTTACAGCTATCTTCCCTACACACAAGCTCACATCTCTTTAAAGTCTTGTTGGCAATTTTAAAATTAGGTACTATTAATACCATTAGTGTTTTGTAAGAGTAGAAAAACTATAAACAAGCTTATTTTTATATCATTTGTTTTCTAACCACATGCACTGCTTTGGTTGAGAGTAGGCTGTTGTAGCGAGATTATTTTGCTAGATTGTAACAATATTAAGAACATACCTAGTGAGATATGAAATGCTGGTTGATGTGGTCAAAGAACAACTCTAATGCCTTTAGCTACTGCTGATGTCAGAAGTCATGGTAGTGCAATGTCTTTCAGTGAATTGCTGCCATGTACCAAAGAAATGCCTACAAATTTAGAAACCTACTGAAGTGAGTGTGTGTCTTTTTTTTTTTTAAACATGCAGGTAAAATACCACTCAATATTAAACCACCTTTGTGCTTTTAATGATGTGTGTTGTGGGATCAAAGGTTTTGGCTGTTAATCTCAGATGGAAAGATATATTAAAACCAAAAAATTTCTAATCTTTTTATTTAAGGAAAGGATAAAATGTCAATCTACATCCAACAAGAGACTGAACAACTGGTTTCCTAAATCCCTTTGGGCAATAGATTGCTAATGGTGTTGCTGCAGCAGGTTACAGAGTTGACCATTTTAATTGAAACTAAAACCTTTGTGCCTAATGCTGATGACTTACTGAATAAAGTAGAATTGCCAGGAGGAATACAAAATCCTGGCACTGAGGTTGTGAATGTGAAGTAAATTAGACTGTTAATAAAAGATCATACCTTTCCACTGTAATTCTGTTTATTTTACTGATTTAATAAAAATGGTGCAGGAGTAGAAGAATCTGTAGAAAGATTACAAAGCCATATTTGTTCTATGTAGCCCATCTTACTTTTTTTTTCTTTCTTGATTTGAGAATGTTGTGCCATTATTTGTGTGACCTTTTCAAGCTCAAATAACTTACTTTGGGTTAGACATAGAGACAGGGTGTGAAGTAACTTTGTTTTGTTGCCATCCTTATTGAGGAGTTAGAACTTTCTTGTTACCGTTTTGCCCTAGATGAAGGAAGTAATCTCTGGAGTTGTGGATTCCTTATGCTTACTACAGAAAATACCCAGTGTATGTACTGATGTAATATGTAGCCATCTAATGAGCTGCAAATTTGATTCAATATTGGGTATGCAGGTACCATAGCATTTGTCCCTTTAAGGGAATAATCATTTCAAGTCATGCTAATATATAGCATAAGGAGCAATACTATCCTCAAAAGTGTCAATCACAATGGACAACATCAATCATTACATCTCCTGTACTCCACCCCCCATAAACTGTCACTGTTAATACAGAAAGACATTTTAAAATCTTCTCTTAAAAGCTTACAATAAAATTATGTCTAGTCTAAGCCTCCACTTAACCTAGTTGGAAATTCTCCAGTAGTATTATCACCTTAATTCATTTGCAATCCCTTGTCCATCTCCCCATTAGCTAGTAACTTGCCAATGTAAGGAAGTAGGATGGCTGGTGTTTGTCTCAGGGGCAAGTATACTTAATGGCATTTAACTCTAAAAGATCAGAATTTGCTCAGCCAATTAAACCATTTTGAACACCAAACTGAGACCATACAGTCAATTTGATGGCACATCTGTCTGTAAACTAGTGAACAGTGCATCTAGTCACTTCC